CAACCGTGACTAAATTAACAACCGCAGGGATTCACTTAACAACTGTGGCAAAGAAAGGTGGTAAAATAGGGCAAAACTCCCTTAACAACTGTCTCACTTCAGAACAGAACTGTTGGGCACAATTGTGGTCGCAGGTTGAGGACTACCTGTGTATTATCTTTAGAAGCAAAACCAGCATGATCTTTGGAAAAGTGCAAATAGCCCTTGATAAATTTATCCAAATGCTTTGGGGCCTTCTTAGAGGTTTTCTCATTTTGCTTTGGATAAAACCTGATATAAAACTGAGGATATATCAAGCTTTGGAGAGACATCTCAGTACCCGAGAGAGACTGGAATTCTTCAGGGATTTTTCTCTTAAGTCCTCTGGATGGGTCGGAGGATATATTTTGCTCCAGCTCACAGTTGAAATATTGGCAGATATTAGTCTCAAATATTGACAGTGCTTATCAAATGTTGTAAAAATTGAAAGTGATTTGAAAAGGTCGAGATTCTCCCCTCAAGCATTAAATCCCCACTTCTTCTTTTATAGGCTATAGTTACTTTCAGAAAATGCATTCATCGTGTTCCAGTTTTACTTCAGTTTTGTGCATTTATAATGTTCTAGTTTGACTTTCATTTTAGGGTCCTGCAAGAATCCAGGAAGTGGGTTCATTTGGTCCTTAATTAACCATGTTCTGCAAACACAGCTTATAATCCTGTTCGTTCCTGATGCTTACTTAGGTTAAGCCAGTTGCTCCCTACTTCCCTCTGTTCCTTCCAGATGAAATCTAAAAGTTTATTGCCAAGAGATTGGAGCAGCAAAACGGCAACTGGTTCTTCATCCGTTGGACCCATTGTTTTCCTAGCTGTTCCATTCCTGCCCTATTTCGGAGCTCCTCAGAAACAAATGATCAGCTATTGCTGGAAATGGGAATGGGGGCTTCATAATAATTCATGAGACTCTACAGTGGGGTTTTGCATTTCTCTGATGGTACTGTCCCAAGTGATGGTGATGGTGATGGGGGAGAAGGAGGAAGAGGGGGAGGGGGGAGGAGAAGAGGAAGAAGAGGAGGAGGAGGTGAGGAGAAGAG